GTGCTAGGAAAAGAACATAAATTAGCCTAGGGAGCTTGAGCATGTGACCAAGATTGGATGAATGCCACTTTTACCTAATTACACGAGGTCCTGAATTGTGGCAACAAAGCCCAGCTTCAGAGACATCCAGATGAAATACTGATTCTCCTCACTGACAACTTTTCTGAGGGGAAGAAGAGATCCATCTTTTCTTGCAGCATAAAATTGTGAAAGACCATGATTTGCCACAGTCAGAGCCAGCTGGGGATGCACGTTAATCAGAGTGTCCATAGCAACCATAAATTTTGACCCGCTAAGTGGACTTAGGAGAAGGAATGAGTCATTTGCCAGTAGGATGCATGCTGTGAGCCTGTTGAGCAAGCAGCCAGGTGATCTCTGAGTCCCGGGCACAGCCATGCTGGTCGGAGGCCTTCGGGATGGACAAAGATGCTGGGTACTTCAGGAATGCCAGCAGTTCTCTTGGGCTTGGAGTTCTGTTTCCCGTTGTTGCAGAGAATGTATGCCTGCCTCACAGAATTTTATCTAGTCTTTTTGGTGTCACTTTTTCATATTCCCATTGCTTTTCTCTCCTGAAATCTTTTATTTGCATCTCAAAACACGTCTCCCTTGGGGCCGGCCCAGTGGCGCAGCGTTTAAGTTCACACGTTCTGCTTCAGCAGCCGGCCCAGGGTTCGCCGGTTCAGATCCCGGGTGCAGACATGACACCACTTGGCAAGCCATGCTGTGGTAGGCATCCCACATATAAAGTAGAGGAAGATGGGCATGGATGTTAGCTCAGGGCCAGTCTTCAGCAAAAAGAGGAGGATCGGCGGCAGATGTTAGCTCAGGGCTAATCTTCCTCAAAAACAAACAAACAAACAACAACAAAAAAAACACATCTCCTTCATTCTTCTTTTTTTTATGTTGTGGTAAAATATACTTAACATAAAATTTACCATTTTAACCATTTTTAAGTGTACACTTCAGGGGCATTAAATATATTCGCATTGTTGTGTATCTGTCCCCACCATCCATCTGCACATCTTTTTCATCTTCCCAAACTGGAACTCTGTATCCATTAAGCAATAGCTACCCATTCCTCTCCCCCACCAGCCCCTGACAACCGCCATTCTACTTTCTGTCTCCATCAATTTGACTGTTCTAGATATCTTAGATAAGTGAGATCATATAATATTTGTCTTTTTGTGTCTGGCTTATTTCACTTAGCATAATATCTTCAAGGTTCACCTGTGTGGTAGCATGTATCAGAATTCCATTCCTTTTTTAAGGCTGAATAATATTTCATTGTGTTTATATACCACATTTTTTTTATCCATTCGTCCATCAATGAACATTTGGGTTATTTCCACCTCTTGGCTATAATGAGTAATGCTCCTATGAAATTAGTATGTAAATATCTGTTCCCCTAATTCTTTTTAAATAAAATTTTGAAACTGCCTTTAAGAGGTAGGGAAACTAAGTTTCAAACTGAGAGATAGAAACAAGAGTATCTTGAATTAGGGTTAAGCCTCTTGGAAGTAATGCCTGTGTCCTCTTCTAGCCTGAAAATGACTTGCCTCCTATGGGATTTGACAAACATTAAAGATCAATAATACATTAGAGTGGTTCTTTTTGCATTCTTTCCTTTCCTTTTTTTCTTTAACTCTAGGGCCACACAACTAGCTTCAAGCTGCTAAAACCCTCTCCCTGATAGTGACCTTAACCTTATATAAGTATGGCTCTATATGTGGCTGGAAACTAGGAGAGGGTATTGCAAATCAGGGAACCATAAATAGGCCGATTCACTTTACAGTTTATTACTGACATAAGTATATTAAACTTTGTGGCTGGTTTGAGGCATAAATGTGAAATCATTTATGCACACAATTTTTTAATGACCAAGGGAATAAATGCTAGTAAATCTCAATATTTATTCTTTAAGAATGTAAGAATGGGTCATAATATGTATAATTTCACCTTTGAGAGATTTTCTTTGTTTGTTGAGATAGACTTTCTAGATACAGGTATGCTAAATCATCTTTTTATCTTTAACATAAAGTAGCAACACTGGTCATGCTTTTTTAAAAAATTAGTTATTTCAGGTAATAAGCTTTTAACCAGTTAACTTCAAATGTGAAACAATAATCCAACTATGCCTAAATATATAGCATTTATAGATGTAAAATTCCCCCATTAAATTGTCAATGACTTGTGCATTACTTCATCTGTAGGTGTTTCGTCTTCCCTCTCTGTACAATGTGGGTTCTCCCGTGAAGCCGTCGCGGAAGACAAACACATTACTCTGGGACGTGTTTTCATCCTACGGGGACACTGGGACTGAATTAGGTGGAAATGTTGATAACTTAGTAATTGAGTTCTAGTGGCCTGAGTAAATTTATGCACCTGTTTAATAACATTTTTAGAGCCTCTTACTCCCTCTTTTCAGAAAAAAAATCAAGATTAATGTCTGGAAAGTATATTGAACAAAGTGCTTAGACTCAATAAATGTGGCCCTGCCCTGCCTTGTTCAAAGTGCTATATTGTTTTCCATATTGAAATATTTTACAAATTAAAAGGCAAAATATAAATGTCTATTTCAATATTACTAAAATCACAATATTAATTATAGGTTTATGATAAAAAATTAAAAGTGTTACAGAAATATTAATCGGATGATAATATTTTACTTGCATTCTGGTTTGAGTTTCTGAAATTCCATTTCCTAAAAGGTGACTAGCTGTAATTCCAGCTCTGTGTGGCATACTCAAAGACGGGAATGGAAGTGATTTTTCCCAGAAATCTTGATAAATTATTTCTTTTGCAAACTCATTAGTGGTTAAGTGAGAATATTCCTAATACATTTTTATCACCTTTTCAGCCATGCAAAGAAAAGAAATAAAATGCTTAGGTAACCTGGTGGTTTGCTAATAAGTGGAAAGCAGCTGGGGTCAGCTCGCGATTCCAGAGACGTGAGCGTGGCATGATTAAGGCAGTGATTCTCAACCTCGTCTGCATGAAAGAATCTCAGGCATCAGCCTTTTAAAAATCTCCCCAAGTGGTTCCACGTCAGTGTTGAGAACCACTGGTCTAAGTGGACTTGGAATGGCAAACTGAGTTAGGAGAGTGTTATGATCGTCCAAGTTAGAAATCATAAAGACCAATTAGGAAATAAGCAGTGAGATATCTATGTCCCACACAAGGGAGAAAAATGAAGCAAAGATTCCATCTTCACAGAAGTGATGGTCTTAACCTTGAGATGGGACGAGTTTACCAATGCAGAGAACCAATGGAGATCCTTGAAGGATAACCACGTTTTTGGGTGGGAGAAGGTCAGAAAACCTGAAAAGTGGGAGAAGAATCAATTGGCTATCGTGTCAGAAACTAAGGCTTGAGGTTTTCGAGTAGGATATATGAATATCTCAAGAGCAATTAAGAACAAGTGTAGTAATATGAGATTATAGCAAGCTTCAAAAATATTTTTGAAATATTCTTTGAAATATTTTTCTCAAATGTATGCTTAGTGGATGTCTTCAAAGTTGTACTTTGTAAAGATGCTTCGAAATCCAAGAAAGACAACTAGATTTATGAAACAGAAAACAGGTTCTAGTCCAGGCTCCACTCCTCTAGCCAGCTGACCTTGGGTGAGCCACTTACCCAATTCCCATTTTCCTAATCCATTAAATGGGGATGGCAGCACATGCCCTGCCTATGCCCAAGTTTGTTATCTGCATTAAATTAGATAACAAATGTGGAAATTTGTTTTAAAATATGGACCATTATGCAGATAGATTATTAGCAGTAACCTTTTTGCTGCTGTTCACAGGCCCTTTAGTATTGAAAAGCTTTGGACAATTTGTACTCCTTGTAAAGAGATAAAATAATACTAGGAAGTCCGAGGTACCCCTCCTTCAGAGAGTTCACCATCCCACAGGGAAGACAGGATAAGGAAATAAATAACTGTCAACACCAGGGTGTAAATTCTGTGAGACCAGGAATCATATCACTAATGTATTCCCAATGCCTAACTCAGTGCTTCAAACCTAGTAGGCTCACCTAAAATGTTTGTTTGAAAAATTGATGAAGTAATATGATACAAGGTAAAAAGTCATACAAATAAAATACTATGATAGTTTTAAGGAAGGAGAGATTGAACACCTGGCTCATTGCTTGAATCATAATAATTAGTAGACAAATATATGATGGATTAATGAATAATGGGGTGGAGGAGAGAGAATGTCCCCAAAAGCTACTTTAGTTATCACGCAGCAAAAAGGAGTTGAAATCATATCAGATGTAAAATTAGAAATAGCAGCAAGTGAAAAATTACTTTTATTTTTTTTATTTTATTGCAGTAACATTGGATTATAACAGTATATAACTTTCAGATGTACATCGTAATATATTTCAAATTCTGTATAGATTATATCATGTTCACCACCCAAAAACTAATTATAGTCCATCCCCTCACGTGTGAGCCTCATCACCCCTTTTGCCCTCCCCCCCTTCCCCTATGGTAACCACCAATCCAATCTCTGTTGCTAAGTGTTTGTCGTTGTTTTTATCTTCTACTTATGAGTGAGATCATATGGTATTTGACTTTCTCCCTCTGACTTATTTCACTTTGTATAATACCCTCAAGGTCCATCCATGTTGTCACAAATGGCCAGATTTCATCATTTCTTATGGCTGAGTAGTCTTCCATTGTGTATATGAACCACATCTTCTTTATCCATTCATCCCTTGATGGGCACCTAGGTTGCTTCCAATAACTTTTAAATCTAGAAGACTAAGTTGCTTAACACCAAGACCGTGGAAATCAGAAACCAGTGATGAGTCAGAGGAGATGCCTTCAGAAATGGTGGAATACCCAAGCTGATCACTTATTTGCTATATTGGATACAATTGCATCTCACTCAAGGGCAAGCTGTTGCTTATGTGCAGATAGAAACTTTGGTACTACAATGTTCTGCTTTAAATGTGGCAAGTGAAAGGATGCTGACCATGTCTTCTTCTGTCTGTAGGAACAGATAATCTCTATGAGAGGGCGCTTCACATCCGCAAACTCCTCCTGACCTTGCCCAGGTCGGTCCTTATAGTGATGAGGTACCTCTTTGCCTTCCTCAATCAGTAAGTACCCTAACGCTCTGCCAAAGTACCCATCTTAATTGCATTTGCACCACTCTGAGTTCTGTCTTGGTTCTTGGATTCTGTAAAATGTACATTGGGTTCCATCTATCAGCAGGTCGAAGAGAAGATTATTGAATATATGCTGAAGGTACTTTCTTCCTCAGCAGATCAAGGTTATCAAAACATCGATGAAAGACGCAGAAACTGTGCCCATAAATGCAAAAATATACAAATATTACTAAAAAGAACACTTTTCGGGGAAATGTGTTTTTCCAACTTCAGTCCCAGGCTAATGTCATAAATGTTTTTGTCAAAATAATGTAAACCACTTCACCTGCTCACTCCAGAAAATTTCTGTGAGTTTTGATGTTGTAGCTGGGGAAAGACAGGAATTGCAGATGAGACTTACACACAAATCTGAAAAAGAATTCCTGTAAATTCAGTATAAGACTTTGTCAAGAAGAAGATGTTTCTAAGTTTTCAGATATTTCTAAAACAATGTAGCAGAAATCACCGCTACACAGTAAAAATCACTGCATTATTTTCAAACTTTAGTCTTTTAATTTAGGCAACTTGATTTTCAGTTGTGTTACTTCCTGATGCATGGGCTGCATTCTAAGAGCATCCTCCCCAAGTCCTCTCTAAGAGTTCTCTTGCTTTTCAACATTTCAGTTAAGGAATTAGAAATAAGGAAATCCGGGCCAGGGGCTGGGGGGAGGTAAGCTTGAGGAAATGCCTTCTTCTCGCATTCTCCCTTCCTAAAATGAGGATATTTTCTCTTCTCTATCTCACTGGAGGTTTTTGGTTCTCAAAAGCCATGGGGACTTAGTACAATGCTGCTGACTATTCCTGAAATCATACCCGCTCAGATTGACCCCCCAAACCAAGTATCTTACAATAGGGAAGTGCTGGCAGGGAATCATATGGAATGGAACATCCAATAAAACATCCAAAAATGACAGTAACCGATTCCTACAGAAGTCACCACTGGACATAAGTAGTGTCTAGAGGGATGGGTATAAACTATGTTCAGGTTAAATAGATGCTGTAAATTTTTTACCCTTAAGCTTAGTCACCCAGGTGACAAATAGCCTGTTCTTTTTTAATTGTAAAATCGAAATGTGGAAATAAGATTTTTGTATCATGTTTTTGCTCTTCAAGCCGGCACTAAATTAAAGACCCAGAAAGATTAACGGTGACTCTCCCCATTGAGCTTAATGTGTCCTTTGAAAATTAGACCGTTCCTATTCTGAATCTCCCTTCTCCTTCCTGCATCCATTTTCAAGATGATCTGTAACGTGATCGTTGGCTGTTACTGTGAACGTTTTGTTAAGATTGTATGTTCGAGAAGTGGCAGAAGGGAAAGACATATGTCAGCTGTGGAAATTATGCTTTTGTGTTTTCTACTTCCTAGACTATCTTATTTCTAAAAAAGGGTAAAGTATCATGTCACATGGTATCTCAGTTTCTTTGTGTCTGTCACCATGTCACATAGGTAGTTGAGTCTCTTTTTTTCTCCTTCCATTTGTCATCTGCTCACCTGGATTTTACATTTCCTTTCAAGATTGACATTTTAGACCCTGGAAGATAACGTCTCTAGATTCCCCCTGGAACAGCACCTTGCCTGTGTGCTAGAGGCATAGCAATCAAGAGCTGGCTTATTTTGAGTCACCTGTGGAAAATAGCTCACAAATATCCATTGGATTGAATTTAGAAATTAGCACTAGATTACGGAAACCTCCCCCAAATGTTTGCCAGCTTTAAATGGAATGAGAGAATCAAGGATCTTTTTCCCTTCTCTTGCACTTGTAATGTCTTTTGTGATCCTGGTTGTCACCTGGTGTTGGTAGTCTTACCCAAAACAAGTTATAAAGCCTGGAATCATGTGCTTTCTTTCAATGGTTACAAAGAAAGGTGTTTTGTTTTCCTCTAGGCTTTCCTCATGATTTAGAGGAGAAAACTGGATCTGAGATGATTTTGAATAGTGGGAGGAGAATTTTAAAAACATCCGTAAGGCCTTATAGAGATCACTACTGCCCTTCCCAGTTTACTTGAGCAGCATTTAGAGCCTGACCATAATGTTTCCAAATGCAGCTCATTTACTGGATCCTGGTCTCCATTGTAGTAGAGATTCTCTTAATCTCCCTTGTGGCCTTGAAAAATGCCACTTAACTAAGTAAGTAGGACTTACATTCCCCTTTCAGTTTCTACCTAGTTGAAAGGTTCTGAGTCACTTTACTTTCTTTAGAGTTTGCTGAGCCAACTTAAAGTAGGGTGGAATATCATTTTATTCTAATAATAAAAACCAAATAAACGTTTAGATCCCTATTTTCAGAATATGAGCTGGCTTATTAAATATTGATTTTCTTTTCTCCCCTTGATCTTTTATAACTCCTTTCTTGCTTCCTTTCATAGTCTTTCACAGTACAGTGATGAGAACATGATGGACCCTTATAATCTGGCCATTTGCTTTGGCCCAACATTGATGCCCGTCCCTGAAATACAGGATCAAGTGTCCTGCCAGGCTCACGTGAATGAAATTGTCAAAACCATTATCATCCACCATGAGACTATTTTCCCAGATGCTAAAGAGCTGGATGGCCCTGTTTATGAGAAATGTATGGCTGGAGATGACTACTGGTAAGTCCAAAAGTTTTATTTCTTCTCCCTCTGGAAAAATTACGGAAATATAGATAATCAGCTTCATTAGGAAAAAGAATTGACCATAAGGCACCACTGCTTCCAAATAAAAAAGAAAAAGGAAGACGCAGCAGGAACACTTGAGGTAAGTTAGAACACTAAGACCCTTCACAGCACTGGCTTCTTATTCTGGAAACTCATATTCATCCCTCCCTTTTCTCCAAGATTGCTTCTTTTTAGATATATCCACCCTATCATGACTTTTGTAGAGAGTAAAGGTTTTGATGTTACATAGAGCTGTATTAGTTTTTACTGTTACATTAAGAAAAGATAACTGATTGAATTGGTAAATTTCATTTTCATTCTGAAACAGATAGTTTTGATTCTATATAAAGTATTTCAAAATTTTCATTTTAAAGGTCCCCTGTCAAACAAATGTGTTTTCATTCTTACGTTTTTTCATGTTTGTTCTTACCAGTAAATATTGTTCTAACCAATTATAGCAGTAAAGGTCATTTTGAGCAAATTTATTATATTAATATATTATTGGGATAAAAATTTTTTAATATGGCGGTATAGTTACCTCCCAATGAACTACAAAAATGGAGGCAGTGTAGTCAATTGATTTATCCCAAAGGTAGGGAACCCTAAAATGTTCCTGTTCACTATTTGATATATGAGTTCCAGCTTCTGAGAAATCAGATAAATAGAAGTAGCTTCGACTCCTTGAGCCCCTACGAGTACCAGCTACTCAGTGCGTATGATCTCTGTATTCCTCGTGACCACTCTAGCACGTAAGTCAAGAGGTTGAGGGGCCTGTCCAATGACCGCCGTAACTGGAAGCAGCCCAGGTCTGTCTGATTCCAAAGCCCACCTGAGTCTCCCCACTCAGCAGCTACCTTTGCAACCGACCTCGGAAACTGCCCTGTGCAGCTCCCATCCAGGAGCAGCTGGAAATAAACTTGTCTAAGTCCTTTGTTCTGGACTCTCCTCAGAACACTTTCCCGTTTCCTTACTGGGGATTAAGTAGAAGTGGAATAAGTAGCTGAAATATCTTCAACAACTAAAAGTATACTTATGTTTTACTTAAACCATAGTACGGTCTTAAACCACAGTATGATGATATGCCATAAAAATACGGAAACTAGACTATTTCCAGAATTTCTGCTTTCTAAGTTAACAACAAAACCTGGTACATTCCAGTTCTGTAGTACATCCAGCAATTTTACACATGAAATGCAATTCAAAAATATTTACTTGAGCACTTACTATGCGCAATGTGTTAAGTGAGTGTGGCTCTGGAAAGATGAGTAAAACTCAGCCCTGTTGAGATACGGGATTTTATTTCCATGGTCGTATTTGTTTCAAGGTCGGTGCGTGTCAAAGCATGTTTAGTATTTCCAGATCTTCAAGGCTATATCAGCAAGCTCTGCTGTTTCGTGTTATCAGACAGCAAGTGTGTGGATGTCTGATCAGTATTATTTGATGCACTGTATTCTAGGACTTTCTTTGGTCACTGCTTTTTACAAACAGGGTGAAAGCCCCATAAAAAAAAGTCTTGCAACCAATTACATGTGCTTGATTATGTCCTCCTCCTATACACAGTGCTCTCGATGGGTATTGCTCATTTTAAACAGAAAGTCAATATGACAGCAGTTTCCTTGTCCCCCCAACACCAAATAGAAATGGGCTTTTACGGTAATATCAGGTTGGTATTTGTGACCCTAATTCCATTATCAGTGTACATTTGAGGAGAGGTGGTAGTAGTGTTAAAGGATAGGTTTTTAAAAAGGATAAAATTGTAACTCTCATACAATTATAAAATGAACATGTGTCAAGAAAAGACGGAGGAGCCAGCCCAGTTGTGTGGTGGTAAAGTTCACATGCTCCACTTCAGCAGCCTGGGGTTTGCTGCTTCAGATCCTGGGCACAGACCTACAGACTGCTCATTAAGCCATGCTGTGGCAGCATCTGACAAAGAAGAACTAGACTGGCTTACAACAGGGATATACAAGTATGTACTGGGGCTTTGGGGAGGAACAAAAAAGAGGAAGAGTGGTAACAGATGTTATCTCAGGGCCAATCTTCCTCACCAAAAACAAACAAACAAAGAGACCCTATCTTTTAAGAAGAGAAAAGAAAGGAAAGATACTAGAACAAATTCAAAGCAGAAGTCAAAGAACAATCAATTTACATGCAATAAGGAATGTTGAAATGAATTTGTAAAACCTGGGGTACCATAGGGCATATTCCACTAGAATTCAACACATTTTCATTTGTATGGATAAGAATTATTTGTGATGCTATCGGTTTTCTACAAGTTAACTTCTCTTTACAGAGCTGTACAATAGCCTAGTCAAAGAGGAAGGCACATACACGGGACCGATTAGCCTCGGAGGCTCCAGTGATCCATTGAAAGTCTATCCAGTACTCCTTTGCCGTTCCAAAATCTCCTATTTTTTCTTACAGTAGCAATTGTCCATGTTTTAAATTCTTTCCACTTTGGCTTCATATGCATTTCTGTTTCCACTCCACAGCGACAGCCCATACAGTGAGCACGGTACGTTGGAGGAGGTGGATCAGGACGCTGGCACAGAGCCCCACACCAGTGAGGACGGTATGCCCTTATGCCCATGCTGTTGTAAAACCAGTCTTTATAGCCTTTATTTTAGAATTGCTTGTGTTAAAAATTCAGTAATACAAAAGAATATTTATGAGAGATGTATAAATTATGAAGCATAAAGTTACAATGAACATCCAATTCACCACCAACTTCAAGAAAAAAACAGTTACCTTTGCAATTCCCTGATCCCATCGCCTTCCTTGCCCCCTCAGGGGTAACCGCTATGTATTTGTATTTTTTAAATGGCTTGTTGTTTCATTTTTGTCTCGTCTGTTTCATTATTGATGAATATGTGAGGCATTTTCTGTTTTTTGCCATTAAAAACAGTGCTGCTATGAATATTTTGAACATGTATCTACTGCAAATGTCCAGGAGTTTCTCTAAGATATACACACCTGAGAGGTAGCATGTCTTCAGCTTTACTCAAAACTAGCAGTTTTTGAAAATGGTTGTACTGATAGACACTCCCATCAGCAGTGTATCAGCCTCGAGTTGTGTGTGTTCATCCACACTTCTTTTAACCAAATATCATAATCTCCACTAATATAGTCCACGTGTAATGGTATCTCATTGTGATTTTAATTTACATTTCTCTGATGACTGATGAAGATAGTCTTTTAAAATATAGTGTATTAATAGAAAATTTGGGGTAAAGTAAGGCCGACAGATCAGGATATGATTGCCATCGAGAAGATACTTTGTTAGTCACGATTCCGAAGAGGAAGGGACATGCCACACCTGGGGGGGGGCCACCCTGGGAAGCACCAGGGTCAGTCAGGAGCAGAGGGAGAGGGGGCAACTCGGCAGGAGCCCGTATTGTGGGTTCTGCAGGGAGGACTGGGAGAGGCTGGGTAAGCAGGTCTAGGATGGGCTAGTTTGACTTCTTTCAGCAGGCTCAGGGGCACAGGGGCCATCTCTAGTTATCTGGCACCTGGCCCCGTGATCAGGGCAGATGGATAGTGGCCCATAGTGTGAGAGCCTGATAGAGGAGGCAGCCAGGTGCAGGCCCTGCATTGACTGGTTTGTATTTGAAAAGCAGGCAAGTTGTTTGCCATCTCTAGGACTTGGCTAACCCCAGGAGGGGCAGTCCCTCTGGGGTCATCAAGACCCCAGATGTCAGAATACAGAAAATAAAAAACATTGATACAGCTGTACTCATTTGTAATACAGGTATTACAGATATTTGATACAGGTTAATACAGATATACTCATTTTTATATATTTAGGTTTCTTATTTTGTGAAATTCCTAACAGGTCTTCTGCCCATTTTACTACTAGATTCTCTGGACTTTTTTTGTTTGGTTTAGTTTGGTTTGGTTTGACTTTGGTGTTTTTCTTATTTACGAGAATTCTTTGTGGGTGTGGATCAGGTCTTTTATTGGGTAGACATTTTGTAAACATCTTTTCCTGCTCTGTAGCTTCTCTTTCATGTGCTTATTGTGTCTTTTGCTAAACAGAGGATCTTAATTTTTTTTTTTTAAGATTTTATTTTTCCTTTTTCTCCCCAAAGCCCCCCGGTACATAGTTGTATAGTTTTTTAGTTGTGGGTCCTTCTAGTTGTGGCATGTGGGATGCCGCCTCAACATGGCCTGATGAGTGGTGCCATGTCCGCCCCCAGGATCTGAACCGGTGAAACCCTGGGCCGCTGAAGCAGAGCGCGTGAACTTAACCACTCAGCCATGGGGCCAGCCCCCAAGGATCTTAATTTTTAAGTAATTGAATTTAGTAATCTTTTCCTTCATGATTATTTTACTTTGTGTCTCCTTTAAGAAATCCTCAGTGCCCTCAGGGAATGAAGATGATTCTCCCTTGTTCTCTTTTAAGTCCTTTAAGGTTTTGTTTTTCACACATAGGTCTTTATTCTAGCAGGAATTTATTTGGAGATATGGTGTGAGGTAGGGGTCCGTTCCTTTTTTCTCCGTATGGATACACCATTGCCCCAACTGTCCTAGCCTTGATTGTGCTTTCTCCGCTGCTCCACACCTGTGTTATAAATCGAGTGTGTCTACTCATGTGTCTGTTTCTGGGCTCTGTTCTCTTCCATTGGTCTCCTTGTCTGTTCCTACATCACCATCTTAATTTTGTTACCTTTTAATAAATCTTAATATTTGGCAAATTAAGACTCCTGACTTTGTTCCTCTTAACAGTTCCTGGCCCTTTGCAATTTCACTTAAATTTTAGACTCAGTTATTAAGTTCTTAAAACAAACGGAAAAAACCCTGAAAACCTGTTGGGGTTTCGAATGCAGTTGCTCTGATTCTACCTGTATTAATGTGGAGAGGATTGATATTTTATAATATTCAGTCTTCCAATTCACAAACATATTTCTAGTTACTCAATGTCTCCCAATAAACTTTTATGCTTTTCTCTGTAGAGATCCTTTTTTCTTTTTCTAACTTCTTAAGTTTAATGCTTAACATCCCTTTTCAACACTTTTTCAATATGAACATATAAAGCTGTCACTTTTCTCTTAGTACCTCTTTTGCTGTATGCATGATCCTTTTATTCTCCCTCCAGCTGTGACTAATCGGCTTTAAACCCATCCGTTGAATTTTTATGTTTAATTTTTTTTCTACAAGTTCTGTTTACTTCACTTTCGTGTGTGCTGCTTGGTCGTTTTTTATAGTCTTCTGCTCTTACTCATAATATTAATCCTTTCCATTGTTTTGGATTATATGTCTGATAATTCTAATATCTGAAGTCTTCCTGGATTTTTATTGGCTCCTGCTCATTGAGTCTTATTTTCCAGTGTGTTTTGTAGTTTCTTTACTTATTTCTTGGAACTTGGTGGAATTCCTTTAGGCTCAGTTGAAGGTAGGTTCCTTCAGAGAGGGTTTTCATTTATTTCCACCTGGGGCACAACCAGGTTGGGACTACATTGGATTTTTAGCTTGAGATTTTCCAGGCCAGCAAGGCAGTGTGAACTGAAAATGCAAACCTCCCTGAGGAGTGGAATGTGGTTGGGATTCTTAGAGATGACCTGTTCCAAGGTTTGAGAGAGATTATTTCCTCAAGTCCAGGGGTTGGAAGGGTTAGGAGGTAGGGGGTGGTTACAATCTATGGAGAAGTGTGGAGGGCTAGAAGGGAGGAAGATTTCTAGAACTAGAAGTTCACTGTGACACTGAGAGTGTGATCCGTTGTGGGCTCTTAGATTCTCCACGCGGGGCAGGCCCTGGACTTAGTCTTTTGTGCAAAATGAAAGCTTAAGTTAACCAGGCAGGGAAATGCCCTCAAGGCAAACTCTGACTTGCATTTTCTAGTGTTCTGTTTACCTCGCCTGGGTTTCCACTTTTCTTTGAGTTTTTGGTCTTTGGCATTCCTTACTGTCACGGTAGCTTATTAATGCAGTTACAAAGATTTGTTTTTAATCCAGCATTTTCAGTTGATTTCAGCAGGAGGGTAATTAGGGTGTCTAGTGTCCACCCTCTGCTGAAAAAAGAAAGTTTGTGTTTTTAAACGTAAGACGGATTGGCATTTTTAGAACATAAGAAGACATTCTTTGAAGCGAGAGCTGTGTTGTTGCTTTTCAAAGTCTCAGAGCCCCACCTCCACCACCATGTTCCTTTGTCTTGAGTTTCTTTGTTTCTCTATATGGTTCATTCCTTCTTCACTGCTGACTTCTCTAAGTATTTCCTTGCTTTCCCCAGTGGCAGGAAAAGCCAAGACAAAGCTCCAGCCATCTCTCTTCCCAAACATCAGGCTCACCACCATGCCATCTGTCAGTTGTTCTTACCCCTTGACTACAAAAGAGAAGCTTTGCCGAGGGCTCTGTGTTTTAGATAACATTTTGATCATGTTCACCTGATTTTGCTGGAAGGAAAAGCATTGCTTCTAAAGGACAGATACCCTTGCCCACAGCCAGCCTCTGAAGTCCTGCAACTAAATGAACTAGCACATTGATTGTCTTTTTGATTGCCCGGGTATTGTATTTTCTTTTCTCTGTTATGGCATCACTAGAGAGAATAGCTTTTGTTTCCAAAGGAGAAGCTGTCACAGAACAAAACCATCATCTGCAAGGGCAGTTGGTAACAGATCTAGGAGGAAAGTGTCAGGGACAGCAAGGTCCCAAAGAGAAAGTGTGATGTACTAACGTTTTATATAAAACAACAAGAAATGGAAATATAAGACTTGACAGCCCCAGGCAGTCAGAAAATCAGTTCTACTGAATTTTCTTTCCCTTTGCACAAAATTATAATAGCCATGCAGGAAAACGAAGTTATCATGTTATACTCTTATTCTTGTTCTTGATAGCAGCTGCATTCCACAGGGTCTCTGCAGGGCCTTAAACCATGTGACTCTCTCTGAAAGGGGGCTGATGCTCTTCCCACCCTGGGATTGATGTGCTCTGCCGTGACTAGACTCAGATGTGTATAAATAGCTTATTGATTGACATTTGACTGTCAAGTGACTCTCGTGGGAGCAGAAAGAGTCAAAGTAATGAAATCGCTTAGAATTACTAGTTGATGTAGTAGGCTTACCAATAAAATGTACTTCTGGTTCATCTGGTCATTCTTTCGTAGCCTCTCCACATTTAAATTAAATAAGCAGAGTCTGATAATCCTGTTGCTAGTTGTTTCAAAAATAAAAAGAAGAGATAATCATAGAGGTCATGATCAATGAAATTATGATAAAATATGCCTATACCTGTTAAATAGTCTTAAACAGCCCTTGACCAGCATTGACAGTGTATGATGGGATGGCATTAAAGAGCATTCAGGGTTCTCTCTTCATTTCCTTTTGACCAGTACAGAGATGTACACTGTGTTATGGGCTTGTATCTTTCCATTTCCTTTAGTAAAATGAAATTTAAACACGTGGGCATATATTCACATAGATATTTGCAAATTACATGTCATGAAGTTCTTTTTAATAAATGTCATGTCTTCATTCCTCCACAGATATATTTGTGTCCCCTACTTCACTGACATATTTATTTCTGTCCCCCAAGGAGAACTGGGGTAAAAAAATTATCATCTGTTGTCACAGATCAACCAGAATTTATTCTTTATCTGCAAGTTTAGAACAAACTATAAAGTCAATCCCTTTGACTATAAAGTTATATTCCCTCCTCTATGAAGCAGACTTGTAGATACTTAGTAAAGCTGCTATTTATATTGCTTTAATGAAGAAAATGTAATTTTAGGGAGGAATACTAGAATGTTAACATATGATCTAAAAGCTAAATTGTTAAAGGACTTAAGCTGTTGTTTTAAAATTATTTTTACAGCTACTCTGCTGAGCCGTGTACTACATGCAGATTATAGTGTTGTGCTTCTGCAATATGAAATATTATTCACCTTAAACATTATCCACTAGCAAAAAGAGGGGGCATTTTCTTTGTCTTTATTTTAAATGTATAGCTGAAATTCACCCAGGCCCTTTATATAAGGTAAAACCTAGCCTTTTTCACTGTGTTTGTTGATTCTTATGCCTTTGCCTTACATGTCCCAGAGAATGTTTGAATTTATCAAGTGAGAAAGAAGTCTAGCTGGCTATCTGAGGACTTCTTATGCAGTTTATTCAATATAAGTATGACAGATATTGAAGATACTGCAATAAACTTTGGAAAAAATAAACTCTCTTAAAGGGGAAGGTTTGTTACCAAGGGAAATAGAAAACAGTTTGCTGAGAAAATATTTGACAGGCAGGTTTTAATCTGTTATGTATGTGCGCATATTCTAGAGTATTTGGAAACTAATGCAAGCTCAGTTTTTAGCAAATGAGGCATCGTTCATGGCGTAGGTCTATTTCTGTAAGCATAACCCAGTTGTCCTGGCTCTTTGTAATTCTGTTTATTGTTGATCAAATGTTTACTCACCTACTGTTGGTAGCAGGGGTGAGGATGGAGTGATGGTGAGAAAGGGCAGGAAAGATCGTAAGGCCCCAAACTGAGGAGCTTTTTGCAATAAACTGAATCACAGAAAGTACCTGTTGTAGTTGTTTTATTTAGTTTGTCCTCTTATTTGCCTTCAATAAATGTGGTCAGAATTAGATCAAGCCAAAATTCCAATTCTAGTCCCAGAATTCAATATCTTTTTTTTTTAACTTTGTATTTTGAGATCATTGTAGATACTTATTCAATTGTAAGAAATAATACAGAGAGATCCCACAGGCCCTTCTCCCAGTTTCCCCAATGGTAATATCTTACATGCCTGTGCTGTTATCACAGCCAGAAAACTGACATTAGACAATCCGTCCACCATGTTCACACTTCACCAGTTTTTACATGCACTCATTCATGTGTTTACTTAGTTCCTTCCAGTTTTACCACATGTACAGATTTGTGTGACCACAACTATAGTCAAGATAAAGGACAGTTCCATCACAAGGATCCCTCGTGCCACCCTTTTATAGCCTTCCATCCCCTCCCCCACCCCCACCTCTCACAACCACTAGTCTATTCTCCATATCTATTATGATGTCATTTCAAGCAAGCTATATAAATGGAATGATATAGTATGTAACCTTTTGAGATTGGCTTTTTTCATTGACCACGCTCCCTTGAATATCTTTTGACCTCCAGAAAATATAATTTTTGCCTCTAGTCTTTTAAATTGGGTACAGGGCATGCTAAGTTATGCTTCTTTCATGGGTAATATCCAAAATTTGTCACTGATACTAGAGAAAACAAAGTTATTTTGCCTGTTGGTGGTAGTTTGAAGCTGTGATAGTGCCAAAAAAAGTACATGAGGAATTAAATGTATTCAAATAATATTTAATGTGGCAATTTTTGTAAACTTGATTTTTTTTTTTAAATCAACAAGTAAAGCATAAACTTCCTAGTGTTCTGGGATACTGATTTTCCCATGTTGGAAATGGTATTAACATGTTGCAAGGGGACTCCATCGATGTCAAAATGATATGGGAGCAATTGTGGAGGATCTTACAACCCAAGGAGAGACTCCGTATATCATATTGCAAAGTTTAAAGTATTTTGTATTAAACTGTCATTATATCTCTAGTAAGAGGCTGTGGAAATTAAGATCTAACATTCAGTTTTTCTTTGCCTGAAAAACTGGTGACAGCAAGAGAATGTTTTCCTGTAACTCATTTAACAGCCTCATTTTCTCCTGCTTTGTTGATTTGTTTATTACCGTGTTCTGTCTGGATATTAAAATGGCCTTGTTTATTTCTAAGGCCTCATCTAGACCTTTCAGATAGTGTATGATGCCTTCCTAACAACCTTGTCCCTCACTGTTTTCTGGTGCGTTCTTTGTAGAATGTGAGCCAATAGAAGCCATCGCCAAGTTCGACTACGTGGGGCGATCGGCCAGAGAGCTGTCCTTCAAGAAGGGCGCCTCGCTGCTGCTCTATCACCGCGCGTCCGAGGACTGGTGGGAGGGAAGGCACAACGGCATCGACGGGCTCGTGCCCCACCAGTACATCGTGGTGCAGGATATGTGAGTAGTCCCAGCTCCCATCGCCAGGGTGCTCCCGAGGGAGGACTCCAGTCATGGTTCTTAAACTGACCTTGGTCTTAGGAGAAGAGAGCAGAAGGGATCAGAGCCGAAACGTCTCAGCTGAGCACAGTCTACCGTGCTCATGGGTCTTTGCTCACAGTGCTCGGGGGCCGCGGGTCTTCATCTCTGAAACTCTGTGAGGGGGTTCAGGGCAAGGACGAGTGAGGGACGCCTTTGGAAGCGTTCAGGTCCTTAGAAAAATCCCCTGTGCAAAGAAGAGCTTGAAGAGCTGAAGTGACATTGCTAATTCCAAAACCTGTGGGGCTCTTCTCTGAGCGTCTGACTACTGTTTCGATTCCAGGTTCCCAAAGAAGACACTGGCCTAAAGTCTAAAAAGAGTCATCTCCAGGCTGCTTTTCTTCCTTTTAATTTTGCTGACGAGGGCCAGTGGCGTAGTGGTTAAGTTCGCACGTTCCGCCTCCACAGCCCAGGGTTCCTGGCCAGGATCCTGGACCCGACCTATACACCACTCATCAAGCCATGCTGTGGTGGCATCCCACATACAAAGTAGAGGAAGACTGGCACAGATGTTAGCTCAGGGCCAGTCTTTCTCACCAAAAATAATAAAAATAAATAATAATAATTTTGCTGATGTGAAAGCTCTAATTTCAAAAAGAGATGTGAATTTGGTCATAATATCTTAAGTGAAAGAATCAGGTTACAAAATAATATGTACAGTGTAATCCCTGTTTTGTGAATACAGGCATTCACAATGCAGCACCAATTTAAGAGCATCTTTTCAAGGAAGAGAAATATACCACATAAAATGTATACAATGATTAAATGATTCAGCCTAACTTTAGAAATGTTAAAAATGTGTATCTCAGAATCCAAGGAATATTATATGTGTGTATACACAGACACGCAGTCACCTATGTCTAAGGTATGACGTAACATATAAGTTTCTATAGTGTAAACACCATACACATGGATGCATATATCGTAGGTATGAATCCTTGGCATAGAAAAAAGTGTAGAAGGATATTTTCTAACATTCTAGCAGTAGTTGTCTCTAGATGTTATGTCACAGTAGGGGTGATTGTTACTTCCCTCTTTTCAATATATCTGAATTTTCCAATATACCTGAAATGAAACTGTGTTATTTTTATTGTGAAAAGGAAAAGGTCATGTTAATAAGAGAAAGACTTACATACGTAAATGCCTTCACTTATTTTTTTGTCCCCATTCATCTAGCAAAAGACCCTGACTCTTGATTGTCACTGTTTCAGGGATGACACATTTTCAGACACTCTGAGCCAAAAAGCCGACAGCGAGGCCAGCAGTGGGCCAGTCACTGAGGACAAGTCTTCATCCAAGGACATGAACTCCCCCACGGACCGGCATCCCGATGGCTGTTTGGCCAGGTAGGTGAAGTCTGGTCGTCAGGCTCCTGAACCTCCCCTCTCCCAGGAGCTCTGAGGAGCCGCAGTCCTGAGGATCACCCAGTGTGATACGCTCTCCTGTTTGCTCTGTCTCTCTCTCTGCATGTTTAGACAAAGAAAAAGAGGAGAGCCGCCCCCTCCAGTGAGGCGTCCTGGCAGGACCAGTGATGGCCATTGCCCCCTCCACCCCCCGAATGCTCTTTCCAACTCCTCAGTTGACCTGGGGTCCCCAAACCTGGCCAGTCACCCCCGGGGCCTGCTGCAGAACCGTGGCCTCAACAATGACAGTCCTGAGAGGAGGCGCCGGCCGGGCCACGGCAGCCTGACCAACATCAGCCGGCACGACTCCCTTAAGAAGATCGACAGCCCTCCCATTAGAAGGTCCACGTCATCAGGGCAATACACAGGCTTCAATGACCACAAGCCCCTGGACCCCGAGACAATCGCTCAGGTAGGATCCCTTTGATGGACTAGTACTTGCTGGGTAGTTGGGGTGTGATGAAGGAGCTGAGCAGGATTGACTTTTTTGTACCCAGTTTTTTGTATAGAACCAACTAAAGAAAACAGAAAGGGAATCAGCCCATTCTTTAATTTAAAGCCCAACTATGGGTCTCTTTTGAAGAACCTTTTGTTACTGGAGGGACCCAAGTGTATTAGGTTCATATTGATTAAACAGAGACATGGCAGAAATGAAGGACCCCAGGGCATTCAAACACGTCATTGCTAAATAGCCAGGAAAACTCTGAAAAAGAAGAATGAGGACAGACTAGCCCTACCAGATCCTAAATGCATGCTAAAGATAGTGAAACAGACAAACTGATGGAACAGAGTGGAGGGCCCAGAAACAGAAACATTTTACTATATGATAAAGAGGACACTTGCAACTTAGGAAATGACGGATTAGTCAATAAGTAATAGGAGAAATAATGGTTAGCTGTTTGAAGAACAGCAGGTCTGGCTCCTGCGTCACTCCTGAATGCACGTATGTCTTCACTTCCAACAGTTACCGCAGACAAGGGCAGTAACTTTTTCATTAATTAATTTAAATTTTTAATTTAATTTTAATTAAAAAATTAGTAATTTTTCCTAGTGATTAGAACTGACAAAGTAAAAGTAAAACAGTATTAATGGATTTTGCCATCGGCCTACCATTCTTCCCTCTAGTTCTTTTTGCAACATAGGCCATCGGAAAAGACGTGTGTAGTCAGGGACAAAGGCGGGGAATAGATTCAGGGTTTGCCATTTGAGTAGTCTGAAGCATCTTCCAGCTGCCAGTGAAGCTTAAAAACTAACTAAATAAATCAAAAAAGAGTGAAGGAGAAATGAATGAAAAACGTGGAGAAGTCCTGAAGATGGATTATTTTTAATAATAAGCGCCCAAGGAAACCCGCATTGATATGACAAATTTCCAAGCTATTTTCATTGTCCTAATGAAAAACAGTTTTGGATAGAAAATTAGATTGTGTGAGGAGTTTAATGTCTTTTTTTAAAGAAATTAAACCAATTTTAAGTGCACAGTAATTTCTCAGCATAAATCAAAAAGACTTTCGACCTTTTGGTTTTCTCTATTTGGAGCGCTATGCAGGACCCTTTGAGGCCTATTTAGAGCCAGTGATATTTGACTATAGATGAATTTAATGATTTGAGAAATCCATAACATCACTGCTTGCAGTAGGCAGGTGAAACAGGATTTAGGTTAGAGAGACAGGGAATTAGGAGTTTGGGAGTGGGAAGGCGTAATAAGGTCTGTTTAACCCTTTTGCTTCTAGAAACAGGAAATCTTTTAATTGTAAATCATAAAAACAAAAATTCAACAGATAAACCAGACTCTGCACTTTCTCTGTGGGGCAAAGACTTGTAAAAAAAAAAAAAAACAAATCCATATGTTTAGCATCAAATGGAAACCACATATGAAAATAATCACTTGAAAAGTGATGTCACCCTCACAGAATGGCTTCCAGCTGTGTCCTTTATTTATCTTTCCATCTTGCCTCCAGATTTTCCCATGAGGACAAGTAAGCCTGCTATCATGGTGTTCATACAAAAAACATGCAAATTCTTTTGTTAAACAAATCACTGGAATCCCTGATGGAGCTTTTACAAAAACTTCAGCATCCATATGTGATCATCGTGTCTTAGAATAATCCTGTAGCAAACCTTTATTGAGCCCTTACTGTACTGTAGGCCAGGTCCCATACCAGGCTTTCTAGATGCAAAGTTACATCGATAGCCAGCCTCTGCCTGAAGATGCTTAGAATTCAGTGGGGGAATGGACATGGAAATCAGTTACCTTTGTGCACTGCCATAAAGGTGATGCCCCAAGTGAATGGAAGCCCTAGGAATGTAGAGGAAAAGCGTTTCAACCAGACCACAGCGGTGTTGCTCCACCTACCCTATTTCACACAGTGTTCCACCTGTGTGTGTGTGTGTGTGTGTGTGTGGTAAAAAACATAACATCTTAACCATTTTTAAGTGTACAGTTCAGTAAGGTATATTCACATTGTTGTGAAACAGATCTCCAGAAGTTTTGCATCTTGCCAAACTGAAACTCTGTACCCATTAAACAATTCCCCATTCCCTCCCCAGCCCCTGGTAACCACCATTCTACCTTCCGCTTCTATGAGTGTGACTACCTCATATAAATGGAATCATACAGCATTTGTCTTTTTGTGACTGGCTTATTTCACTTATCATAATGTCCTGAAAGTTTATCCACGTTGTAGCAGATGGCGAGATCTCTTTCCTTTTTAAGGCTGAATAATATTCCATTGTGTGTGTGTGTGTGTGTGTGTGTGTGTGTGTGTATATATATATATATACACACACCACATTTTGCTTAGCCATTTGTGTATCGGAACACACTCCACCTTTTTGAAGCAGATATTTTGTAATTTCCCATTTGCCATCTGAAATAAATTGATAAATGATATAACTAATTTGAAAAAACAGATAAAATTCTAAATATAATATAAATAAAAAATGAAATAAATATTAAAGCAAATGTGTTTCAGTTAATGCTTGACTACACTAGAAGACAAAAGAAGTAGTAAAAAGCCTTCACCGACATGTAGAGTTACCATAAATACAACAATTAAAAATGCGCATTGATGGTGCCGGCCCGGTGACATGGCAGTTAAGTTCACGAGTTCTGCTTCGGGGGCCTGAGGTTCACCAGTTCAGATCCCAGGTGTGGACCTACACACCACTTACCAAGCCATGCTGTGGCAGGCGTCCCACATATAAAGTAGAGGAAGATGGGCATGGATATTAGCTCAGGGCCAGTCTTCCTCAGCCAAAAAAGGAGGATTGGCGGCAGATGTTAGCTCAGGGCTAATCTTCCTCAAAAAAAAAAATGCACGTTGATGTCAAAGCGTATTAAGTTCATTGGTCTTAACTCAGATTCCATGAAGGGTGTTTCCATCAGTAAGGTGATTTTCTAAAACAGTGGACCGCTTTTGGTCATACAGTTCTAATCAAAACAAAGTATAATTTACATCTTAGCTGCATTCCTAGAAAACCTTAACACCGTGAAAAAAATACTTTATGTTTATATACAAAAAAGAGTTAGATTTTATCAATAACTCAATAAAAAAAATAATAAAAAATTAAAAAAAAAGATTCCAATACTAATAGAAGAACGTCTATTCTTAGGAACAGCACACTGATAAAATGAGGTTATCTAAACAGAAAGTACACGCTTGAAAAGCTAGCAAATGTGTCTACACATGGAGTCAAGGCAGGTGAACCAGATTCTGGATGAATGAAACTACCGTATATGACTTTGAAAACCAAACTGCGTTTTGCACCTATCTCACGGAGAGAACTAGCAGAGCAGACTTCCATGACTCTTCACTGACAAAATCCTACTTACCAAGCAAGAACTACTGGTAAAAATGATTATCACAGAAGTACAATCAGGAAAAATATTATTAACATTAATACCATAAATTAAAATGCTTGTAGCAGCTGAATTATGTATCAAGAGTATTTATACAATCACAGCAAATAACTGAAATATCTCAAAGTATCTTGTACACCACTACTGGGCTCAGAAAACGATGGCAAAAAGCAATGAAAATATTAAATCTCATTATTGATCTACTAGCTTTGATTATTTAATATTAGTATAGTTATTTTGGGTTTCTTTTAAATTGCACAAAATAAACAGTAATTTTTCTTTTAATAACTTTTTAAGTTAGATGAAAAATTAATTAAAAATAAAAGATACAATTATAAAAAAAAAAAGAGTTAGGTTTCAGGCTCTGGTTATTATAAACAGGATTTTCACCTACATAAATGTCTGAAGGCCATTCCAAAGTTGAATGAGATGTAGGGCAATTCATCGCATGTAACTGTGCAGGACATTTGCAAGATACCTAGTATGCACGGCCCCTGCCCACCAAATGCCAATAGCACCACCCCGTTATTGTGACATTTCAAGATACACACACACAAACACCATGTTACAAAAATGCCCTCGGTGGGGCAGCTCCACATCCATTGAGGGCCGCTGAATAGGAGCATCAGGGAGGCCTAAACTGAATTTTGAAGACCTGCTAGGAGTTAGCCAGGAGTTACTGCATGGTTAGTGCTCAAAAACTGTTGAATGAATGAAAGAAGCCTGATTTTTCAATCCGATTCACATTTATTTCTCGAGAAATTGTTGCAATATCTAAATGTAAGCTATCTTTACCATAAGCTGAAAGAGAATTCTATGTAATAAGTCAGCATGCAAGGTAGAAAGCACCAGAAGGCTACCTGGTGCCTTAGCATGGCAAATGTTGGCTCCGTGGCTCCATGAGCCATTGCATCTTGGTTTCCTGAACAGTCAGAGTCACGAGAACTGTGTGCGATGGCATCATGTTAACGCAGCCTGCGGACTAGGAAGTTGAAACATCCGTGCCTCGGCTGGCCTGTTTGCTTTGCAACGAGGTGTATGGGTTTCTATAGGTTAGAATTCATCATCATTCTACTCTGTGTCTCTCTCTGGTTGTTTTGCAACAGGATATTGAAGAGACGATGAACACTGCTTTGAATGAACTCCGGGAGCTGGAGAGGCAGAGCACAGCCAAGCATGCCCCCGACGTGGTGCTGGACACCCTAGAACAAGTGAAAAACTCTCCCACCCCGGCCACCTCCACGGAATCTCTCAGCCCTTTGCACAGCGTTGCCCTCAGGAGCTCGGAGCCTCAGATTCGCCGGAGCACGAGCTCCTCCAGTGACACAATGAGTACTTTCAAGCCCATGGTGGCGCCCCGAATGGGTGTGCAGCTGAAGCCACCCGCCCTGCGGCCGAAACCTGCTGTTCTTCCAAAAACAAACCCCACCATAGGACCTGCCCCGCCTTCCCAGGGTCCCACAGACAAGTCTTGCACAATGTAAAAACCAGCTGAGCAAGGTCATTCGGGGAGGTGATTAGAAAAAGACAATGGATTAGTGACAAAAGTCAACGATCCATAAATTTCCTTAGTTTTGTGCTTATAACTGGAGATCTTTTGGCTTTTCTATGTTCTCGAATGTAATGTCTGCGACTAGCTAAATTAACACGGGCATTTGTATTTTGTAATTTCTTTCTTTTTTTTTAAATAACTGGACATATCTTATGTCGTTTTAAAGACAATAGAAACACCTAGACTTACTTGAAAATCCAATGCTGCACCATTTGTAATGAAGGCAACACCACTCTGCTCTCCACATTGTACAGTACTTCAGGTACAGCGTAGCCCAGGTGAGTCAGAAATGTCTGGATCCGAAGGCTCGAGAAGCTGAGTTCCAGGCCTTGGAGTGTAACCCGTGTTGGTCTGTGGCACTTGGGGTAATGACTGAAGCGCCGTGACGGCATTGACTGGTAGCTGACAGTGAGCACCTCTGATGCCGTGCCGTGGGGCAGAGTCCAGCTCATGCTAAAGCCCTGCCGTTGTCACAGTGGGATATTCCGGTGATTGCCTCTTTCATAACGGTCGTTTCCCCGGGTCCAGGTTAAAGACAGCGGAAGGGGGGAACCTCTACAGTTAGCGCTTGAACCGAACCTGGGAAAGGAGAGAGAGACAGCCCTCCCGAGCTATTGATGCGACTCTGCCAGGCGCTGGAGGATTTCCAAGTGCATCTCCCGCATTCACAAGGACCAGAGCAGTCTAATTTAAAGACTTTCTGGTTCCACTGCTCCACAAATTCCTTCGGAGATCTGTTGTTTAATAAGTGACTAGAAAATCCTTCTAGCTCCCCTGAAGTCCCCGTGTTCTCCTCTGGAAATGGGGAAAGCCAGCAGCGCACGCGTCCTTGGCTCTTGTAAACATGCTACAGAGGCTGGAGGATCCCAAGTGGAACCCCCAGCCCTCCTCCGCGTGCGTCTCTTTGAGCCGGCCTAGAACTGGCTGTGGTACTGGCCGGAGGTGGGAGCATTTCCTTGTCGTTCCAGGATGCTTTCCTCCCAATTTTGCACCCTGAAACCATGATTTTTCTTTTCTCTTTTTTTCAGATGGTCTCTACATAGCTCACATAGTCACTCCATTAGGGACCCTCTTTGTCTGACATCCTAGCACATAGCAGATTCTTTAGCCCACATTTATGCTATATTTTCCATCTAAAAAAGGTTGCTTTGAATTCACTTGTTTTTACTAAGGTACAAATCACCACTCTCCTACCAGCCGCAGCTTATATCATCTGTAAATCTATGAGCATTTTATCTACTCTGTCATTGAACTTACTGATGAAGAGACTTGGTGGTTGTTTTTTTGTTTTTTTTAAGGAAAATTGGGTGGCCAAAACTAACCCTTCTGAACCACCAATGATTTCCTCCTAGGTTTGGTTTCAAACTGGCAGCCAATTGCATGCCACCTAAGAGTTACACAGTGTAGACTTTATCGGCCCATTGGGGAATGCGTCGTGCGGGAAAGAACGAGGATCTGTCCTAAAATCAAGATCGTTACTTTGATCTCTCTCTCCGTTTGCCAGTCTGATCATTCTAATGCAGAGATTAAATTAATGAGATATTGTTACCTTTCAGCGTCACAGTGCTGCTTGCTTGCCTGCAGTCTAATTTCATGAATGATTGAATAGTGGAATTTTTTTTCCCAAGTATTTCCGGGTATGGTAAACTTCTAAACCTCTGAATTTTCAGAACCATCCTTTTTGCCTATTTGCAAAAAGAGGCCCAGCTCAGCATCTTGTCCAACCCCTCACCATTTTGAGCTTTCGTGGTCCTGCGTCACCTTGGACACCATGGAGACCCAGCCAGGACTGAGTCTTTAAAGCTTTGAAACAATTTTCCCAAATCCCCTAGGAAATTTAAACTTTCATAAATAATCTCCTGGTTCTTTCCGGATTCCGCTTTGGTTTCTAATTCTCTGCCACTAGATGGGGAAACAGAAGCAGAGAATAAAGATAGAAGTAATGGTGGGGAGGGGGGTTTAAATCGTTTAGAAATTAAAAAGATTCTTAAAAACCGTTTTCCATCTTTGATGGAAAAGTAAAGTCTTAACAGAGGGCATCGAAAGGACAGAGTTGCTTTGAGTTTATTTATTAATTTTGGGGGTCTTTTACAAGCTTTAGCTTTTCGGATCTTCCTCCCGCAAGCTCATTTCTTCAGCCAGCTCCCTGGTCATCCTCCCCACTGTCTCCTCTCTTTGGTGTTTACACCCATGGTGGAGTGAGGCTTGCCTTTCCACCACCAAATCAGGGCTCTGCTGCCTTGGTCGCAGAGGACATGCTGCTCTGGAGCCTCAGAGACCGTGCCTTCCTCCAGGAAACAGCTCCTCACACGCCATCGCTCCCTCACTTTACCTGGCTCTGTCTTTTCTCCCTGACCCTCTGTTGTCACCCTGAGGCTGTTTTGTGTGTGTGTGCAATTCCTAGGGAAGGACGTGACCTCAGAGTGAGTAAGCACTCAATAAGGACTCACCTCTCCTTAATTTGTTAAATCTGCAGCTTCCAGGGATAAGACAAAGTGGCCACTTCACAAAGGATCCAAAATAACACCCAGTGAGCTCCTTAAAAGCTTCAGCAGCTGAAGGGGTCCCCTGGTGCGTGGCCTTCTCTGTAGCCACAGCTGTAACACACAGTGGGGAGGTGGAAAGGCACAAGGCATAGGGAGAGAAAGAAAATGTGTCCTTGACATGTTATGCCCCAGTTTCAAGGATCTTCTTAGTCCTCGTGCAGTGTGGGAAGGGGGTCATTTTGATGATGGATAAATGATGGTTCTACAAAAATTACCTGACTCGGCGTACACAAGAGTATGTATTCACAGTTGATGGATCTCTGTTCAGGTCTCATCCACAGAGCTCACTGAGTCAGATTGACCAGATTGGTTCCTTGGTTTGGGTCAGGGGTGTTGGGAGTGAATTGTTCTATAGAGCGAAAGGTACTTAATGCAGATTTTCTGATGAGTGTTCTGTAAATTATTTCAACCTGCTGAATGGAACTTCGTGGAGCTCCATGTTCAAGTTCAGTGTCAACATCATTGTTCGGCAGTTTTGCACATTTTCACACAATGTGATCTGACTTTGGTGCCCCTTGAGCCGTCCGTAGAGTAACCTGCAGCAGGGTCCCAGTGAATCGACCGCAGTGAAGGTGGACTGTGACCGACGGATGTCGAGCACCAGCGCTCAGACTGGATCAGCTCAGAGTTTTCTGTCTTCGTGCTTTTGCCATTCCCAAAAATGGCTTTATAATTTAATTAAAGAAAAGAAAAAAGAGCGGGTAGTGGTCTCCTTAGCATTTGCGAATGACTGAGGAAACTTCCTTCTGATCATTACAGCCTCTGAAATCCAAAGTTAAAGAGCATATTGGTCTGCTGAGGGGTTTGGAGGACTTCAGATTTGAGATGACCCTCATGTACTCCTGACCACAGCAGTGAGAGGCCGTGAATGCGGGAAATGCACTTAGGTCTGAGCCTTGCTCTGAGCTCCCCACCCTAGAGGCGCTGAGCCGGTGCAGGCTCTCTCCGTGTGTAAATGGAGCTCCCTGCTGCAGCCTGGCCTGGCTCCTGAGCTGAGAACCCTACCTCCAGCCCGGCCGGGGTGTCAGGTGTGGTCCGGGGTGTCTGGCACAGCTTCCCTCTGATCAGCAAAACAAACTGGAAATCGAGCTTTCACTTACCCTGGCATACTTTGTTTAAAAAAAAAAGTCTACATGGTATAATCGAGATGGGTACCTGTATCTTTAAATTATGTAGGGAATTTTGTATGTTTAAATAATTGTACTGGGTTCCGTAATGCTTATCTTAGAAGCTGTTTAGTAAAAGAAAATATATAAACCATGCATTTGTGAATGCCCCCGCAGAGCATTCATCCAAGTTCAGTGTGTAGTGAGATGGTTATTATAGATGTTTAAAATATAGTAAGTGGCTGTGTAACAGGAGAGACTGCTATTTACCTATGGACGTAAGAGTAACTCCTGCCCAGTAATTAAATCAATATCGTCCTTTCCTGTTGGTTTGAACACTTGCAGTACTGGTAGCTTCCTGCTTGTGACTGTTACCTAATTGTGTCAATGTACATCTGTAGTATGTACATGTGAAAGTGCCTTCTACTTTAGACGAGTTTTAGCCTTGCTGTTTACTGTTGCCCACCCGCCCCTCCCCCCCTCCCCCTCCTCCTCCTCCCCACCCCGACTCCCACTGCCCACCTGAGTGTTTTGAAGCTTCCTCCTCTCCCCCAGCTGCTTCTCCATCCCCACCTTCCTGTGCCTCGGTGCTCAGTATTGTCTGTCTTGCATCCTTGTCCTTCATCAGACTGTCTCCTCGTCCTTGTCGCCTGACTGTGCCTTGCCCGCCCCCGCAGTAGCTCTCCGGTGTCCCCCTCCCGTCTTCTCCCCCTTCACGTGCTGCTGACGGCCAGCGCCGCCTGTGCTCTGTCCTGCCTCTCACCGTTACATTCCCTGTCTCCTCAGTGGAATTGAAGGGGGATGCTGTTACAGATGGGGAAGAGAAAACAATGTTTTGTTAATCTGTTGTGACAATGCACTTTTATGTATAGTACTGTACATTTTGGCATGTACCATTCCAGGCTTCAGTGCGCAGTCAGGCCTGTTCTTCATGGTGTATCTTTATAATAAATAAGATAGTTCTGGCCGCCTTTGTCTGCTTCCGATTTGGTGTGATTTTCCCTGGTATTTTCAATTCCTTTCTTTTCTAATCACTGTTTTCCCCCCAGAGGGCTGAGCTGCCTTATTAATGGGACACTACCTTTTTTAAAAAAATGTTTTTATCTCACTTTCATTTTAGTTTGTGAATTTGAAAAAGAGGCCTCACGCACAGGGCCGTGGCCGTGAAGCCAGGGTTTTTTGTTTTGTTTTGTTTTGTTTTTTAAAGACTGGCACCTGAGCTAACAACTGTGGCCAATCTTTTTTTTTTCCTGCTTTATCTCCCCAAATCCCCCCTGGTACATAGTTGTATATCTTAGTTGCAGGTCCTTCTAGTTGTGGCATATGGGACACCGCCTCAACGTGGCCTGACCAGAGGTGCCATGTCCGCGCCCAGGATCCGAACCAGCAAAACCCTGGGCTGCCGCAGCGGAGCACGTGAACTTAACCACTCGGCCACGGGGCCAGCCCCAAGCCAGGGTTTTTCAGAGGCATCGTTTGGAGACCCCTGTGTCTTAAGGGGAAGGCACTAGGGGTGTGTTCAGTGAGAGGCTGCGTCCTGCACTGTCCTAAACACACCGATTGCAGTCGTCTCTCTAAGAAGGACTCTGCATTGTAAACCTTGTCAAGCTGATCTTTGGTTTCAGTCGAATAAATTGAAATGCAAGCCATAGGTATAGCTCATGTTTAGAATTCCCCTGTGTATTGATATTTTTTCTTCAAACTTAAAAACTAACTCTTGAGGACTAGCAATACATAATAAAAAGTTTTGTAAAATGGTATTAGCAGCATGCCAGATTGAATATTGAAAAGAGATATGGAACAAAAAAAAATGACATAAATCAAGGGAAAAAACTTTATTGAAGTGTAAAATACAGAAAGTGCACAAACCATTAGCGTAAGAGTTTTTACCAAGTAACACGCCAGTGCATCCGCCACCCGGATCCAGAAGCAGCACACCGTCAGCATCCTGGAAGCCAGGCTTGTGTCTCTCCAGAGTTCATCAATAGCCTATGAATAACACCACAGTTTGGTGGTGCCTGTTGTCCAACCTTCTGTAAATGGACTCACAGTATGTAGATTTGGTGTCTGGCTGCTTTTGTTGAAATTTGTGTTTGTGAAAGTTGTCCGTGTTGTTATGTATAACAGTAGGTTTTTCCCTTTTCACTGCTGTATAGAATTCTATTACATGAATATGCTGGGTGTTATATTAGTGTTTCTTGATTAAATGTTGGGTATTGTATGCAGAAATCTTTACACATGGACAAGTGAATGAAAAAAAACTCCACCAATTAAAGGAACTGTTTTCCCCAAATGTGATGGAACGACTGTGAACTAAGCCATTGGCTGGAAGGCCCACCCAAATGCAGGCAGGACCACTTTAGGCCCAGAGAGTTGAATTTAGGGGCTGCCCTGCCAGGAACACATGCCCAAGACTACAGGATTGTTCCAGAAAAACCCACTGTCCTGCATCTCCCTCCCCACTGCCCTCCAATCCAAGAGCCTCAGTCTGCCACACCCTCTCCCTGTGCACCTGTGTCCCTCACTCCCAAATTAGAATCCCACGTGGGTGTGTCTCTTGTCAGCTCCACTGATCAGATGCCAGCATCCTGTGAGAATGGTAGGAAGGCAGGCCCAAGGGAGTTTCCTGGCTTCTACCTTGGGTAGTTGGGACTTCTAAGGTGGGAAATTCCCCAACCTTGGTCTAAAGTGCCCAGAAGGTCCTGGAAGCCAAAACTGCAGCAAATTCCACTCCACAGGCCATAGATCCCTATTTGGGTTTTGAAAAATATATCAATATACCTTTGGGAAATGATCATGGTGACATTCATCATTCTTCAAAAGTAGCCTTTTGTCTAT